CTAAATTTGTGTTAATCCTGTTAAATCAAACTTAAGTCACATCCTGATTGTTTGGTTTAAAATCCATTGTGGTGGTGCACAGAGGCAAAACCCAAAGACTGTCCAGCAGGTTGTGGACCTAACGCTATGTTGCAACTGAGTTTCTTTCTTTGGTGCTTCATGTTTTGATTTTATTTGAATTGATTATCTGCACATTGTTCTTTTTTTTTTTGCTATCAGCCTGTCAGTCACCAGTAAAGCACTCTGAACTGCACGAAACACGCTACAGACAAAGTTTACCAGCGGAGTGATCCAGCAGACTTTGAGGCGTAAAGTTAGTCTTTCTCTTTTAGGTTTTAGTATTTATTTAACAGTTTGTTGTTGCATCTGGATTTTAATGGTGAGGGTGTATTTATTGTGCTGGCTTTCTTATCTTTAAATTAAGAACCACTGAAGGTCTTAATTTATCACCCTTTGGAGTCGAATTCCATTTAACTGACTCAAACACCGAAATATTGAAATATGCTCAGGTGGTCTCACCTTGTCCTCCTCTCCCTCTGATTCAGAGGCCGCTCTGAACTGCAGCGTGCCAGTGTTGATGTAAAATCCCCCCAGCTTTGTGGTGAGCGAGGCGGGCACCAGCTCGTCATACTGAGGAAAACATTAACAAAGGAAGACAAGCTTCAGTGTGAATTTACACGACTCTGGTAAAGAATAACGCCACTTGCACCGCAGCTGTCTGCAGCTTTAAAAACATTTTGAGTAACTGGTAACGTGTCACCAAGCAGCTGCTGGTCAGTGAAACTGAGGGTGTTAACTGTGAGCCAGAAATAAATAAATCAGTAAAAGAATCCCAATCCCCTCCGGGCCACAGATGAAAACAATTTTCCCATCATGGCACATATCAAAACAAAAAGGGGGAAAGAAATAAGTCAAACAGTGTGCAGCCAATTTGTGAGCAGAGAGGATAGCTATTTAAAAACACCAAGACAAATATCATATAATGGCAGGGAATCCATAAAAGAGCATAATTCTAGCTATTACAGCCAGAGAGAGAGTGACATCCTCCGAATACTGAGTTATAAACACTGAGACGACAACAACAACGTATTCCTGTTTGGACACACGGAGCACGGACGTCTTCATGAGTCATGAGGACTGTTTTAGACTGCAGTCTCAGGTTGGTTTAATAAAGGACAACTGTCTATCTTTAGAAGTGCCACTGAACGTACAGTTTGGAAACATCAAGGCAGGAAATAAATATTTAACCACAGAGGGATAATGTCTACCTCCACACATCGAGACCAAACAGCAGCAGTTCAGGAGCGTAACGAGGACATCAAATAAATCAGCAGATAATAAGGGAGCGAGGAGACTAGTATGCCACATTATTATAGAGACAAACTCAGACACTCCACTACATGAAAGTCTTAGAAAACAGACACACGAGAGGGAAAAAACACCTCGTTAGTCATGAAGAAAGGAATACTCACAGCCTCAGAGTTGTCTATAAAGGGGTCTGTCTCATCGTAGCCAAACCCAATATCGATCAGATCTTGCATTCGATCCTTCCTCTTCTTCTTCCCCACGTTCCCCTAAAACGTTTTTCATAGAATTTAATTTTCATTTACAAGCAGAACACAACAGTTTTCTTCTCTGTAATCCTCACATAACCCAAAACCATAAAACATTAGCACAGTGAGAACTGAGGAAATATTTGTAATACTTTTGTTTTTGGGACGTTTGGCGCTCTGATGAGTGCAAACAAACACACTTGGACCCCCACAGAAACAAATCCAGTCTGATGGATAAATCACTTCACCTAATTGTTTTAAAAATTAAAAATAACAAAATCAACGGATAATTTGTCTTTTAAGTTACTTAAAGATATATGGCACAAACAGTAATAAGCATGAATATTTCTGTACAGTTTATTGCTTAAATATGAAATATCTGCCACAAAGACCCTGTAGTGCTGAAACCTTAGATAGAAGCAATAATTCACTCGAGGTTTGACAGTTTTTTCATTACAAAACAAGAGTCTGGAAATACCAAGCATCCCATAAAACTTTTGGAAATAAGTGTAGCTTAACTTAAACTTAAAAACCATAAATTATTAAAACTAACACTAATATGTTTAACTAATAAAAATTAGTGACCATCAGCTTATTGGCACACACATATCTGTGCGTGAGCCGTTGAGCTACAGAGCAAGAAAAACATTATTAAAGTGGACTTATGCACGAAAACTTATTTACACTACTGAAAGAACACTTTGCTATCCATAAGTCATAAATTTAATGTTAATACCTCAAAACTTCAACTCTGCAATTCAAAATGTCATTAATTTCTTCTAAGTTTAGAAACCCCACCTGGACATTTTAGGTAACAACCTGAAATTTTGATTTATATATGTTAAACGTTTATTTCAGTGGCTTGAACAAGCTTTGATTTCCAGAAAACTAATTTTCAGATCCATATTTTTAGCGCTAGAGTGTAGAGTAGCTTAGCATGATTCGCAGCTCAAAATAATCTTTGCTTATCCTTCCCACTTCCTTTAACCCAGTGGTTCTCAAACATATTCTGACATTCAGCAGCCAGACAGTTTGTGCTCCACACCACAATTTTTATTAATCAGTAATATTAAAAAAAATCCAAGATGATTTTTTGTTAAATTAAAGGTCAATGGAGTAGGATCAGCAAGCTCTTTGGTTTTTCTTAATAAATAAATAAATAATTAATAATCACAATCATTCACTTCATATTTGTCACTTGGTTACCAGCTATACAGCCCATTGTTCAAGAACCACTGCTTTAAGTC